ATATACACTACAATCAATACATAAAACTGTGATGATTTAGGTCAAGATCTGTTTTATTATACATGTAAAGTAACTTACTAACATACCTGACCAGATGAGTAGCTTCTTGCGTATGTGCGTCTTGAAATCAGCTTATGGACTAAAATAATTTAACCGCTCAATATATATAAGGTCTTATAAAGACCAACCGTGCCCTGGTGCTGCTCATGCGCAGTGGCACGCTGCCAGATTACATCGCCTAATCATGGACTTTTAATTATTTTTGAAAACACCATGGTCTAATGTTAATACTAATGATCTATAGATGTATGCTGTACTCAAATCAAATTAAGTCACCAAATGCTCTGAAGACAAACAAGACGTTTTGTAACTAGTATAATATTTGAAATAAGGTTACACGTAGATCAAAATGGTTTATTTCTTTTGTTTTGCTTTAATGTGAAAAAGCTCGCGGATGCAATTACTAAAAAAATATTATATAATGTATACCACCTGTCATTTATACAAATGTGATTGATTGCTTCCTTTTGTTGATGTCTACCTTGACATAATTACAAACGTGAGTTGCATCAATTTTTAATGATGTAACCTCTTATGATAGCTATCATCAGAAAGAAACTATAATATAACTTTAATGTTTTATCTTCGATGTCTTCGATACCTTTATGAATTTTGAAAATAATATTTCAGGTTGGCATGGAAACAAAAATGTGCACATCAACAAGCGTACCGTAGGCCTATATTCTTTTAATCGATTGATGTACATTTTTTATGTACAGTTTAATTATTTGTGTTTAATTTACATTCAATCGTTAATCAAGGCCTATATTATTTTTATTGAAAGATAAACAAGTTTTACGAACGTGTGTCAGTTTTTTAGAGTGAAATTATTAATCGTTATAAATTGTTATAAGTATTATAGTTATTGTTTTTTTTTTATTATTGTGGTTGTTGTTTTTATTATTATTATAAATTATCATTATTATTATTACTATTATCATTATTATTTATTATTATTATTATTTAATAAGTCTTTTGGGCGAGGCCTTATTATATCGCTATAAACGTATTATTATTATTATTATTATTATTATTATTATTATTATTATTATTATTATTATATGTAATAATCCGATTATATAAGTATAAACGTATTATTATTTTATGATCATAAATATTACTAAATTATTACTAATATTATTATTATTACTACTATTAGTAATATTACCATTTACCACCAGATTATCCACTTCATAATAATTATCAATTGTTAAGCTCTAGTAGACGGCTTAGGGCTGCTCGATGCAGAACAAAACGTTTCTCAAATTCGTTTGTTCCATATTTAAAATTATTTTTTATGTTGTATATATTTCGTACATGTTTTCCTTTTCTTACTAGATCATTTGAGCAAGTGTACGTCAACCGAATTAAAATGAACTATGAACTATGAACTATTTATTAAAGAAATTATAAAAGAAAATATGAGGGCAATCACTTAGTTGGAGGTCAGAAATAAACAGGATAAAACAAATGCCTGTCGATCGTGAGGCCTGGTCTGAGATTGGGGCTATCCTTAGGCACCAGTACGTAAAAAAGGGCGGTTTTAATACCCTTAGTCTCCAATACAAGAACAACAACTGATTATAATGATTATTACGTTTTAACCAATTGTATATATTTATAGCGAAAATAATGATAACAATAATAATAATAATAATAATAATAATAATAATAATAATAATAATAACAATAACAATAACAACATTAAGTTGTTTAATTGTAAGCATAAAAAAAAGCATAGAGAAAATAGAACAGTTCAAGGACAAACACAAGTTTCTGCCCAACTTACATGTCAATATCCTGTAAAATATCACCCTAGGCCCCGTTGTTCCTCCATTTTAACATTATTACGGCCAAGCTCCGTTACTAACATCATCATCAATATAGGTTATCCATACGCTCTTACCTGACTTCCGATTTTTTGATCTAACCCAATGAATCATAACAGTAAATCACTCAATTCGGCCTTGAAGTTAAAAAAAAGTATTGTTAATCAGCAAAATACACATCTAGCTTTTAAACTGATATCAATCTATAATTTTGACATGGATGATTATTAATTTACACCTTCTCCATTAGTAGCGCGTATAATTGAGAAAAGCGGAGCCCCTGAAGCTGCGTGTGTCGCGACTTCCACCCGGTAATAAGGCCCTGATCATTAACTGCTATTGCGTCAGTGTTTGAGTTGACGCTCTCCAACTAGTCATACACTCTTTGCAAAATAGGAGACGGTGTGAAGTAATTGAGGTAATGTTGGCTCCGTCAATTAAAATGTAAAGCGGCAGCTAATTAAATCTTCTGATATTTAAACGATCTCATGCTTGCATTAATTAGGGCCTGTCGTGATGGTACTTCAATTAAAATGTCAAAGTAGTTTGCATTGAAACAGAGTATAGCATATACTTTAATGAGTAATAATTAACTCGTTAGTAATTATTTTAACGTACATTATCTTTTTTTAAATGTACGTTTTACATGAAGTAGTTGTAGAGTTGTATGAAGATAATGATGATGATGATGATAAAGAAAAATAAAAAAAAGAAATTGATAATAATGGTTATGGCAACGATGTTTTTGTTGTCGATGATGATGATGATAATGATGATGATGATGATGATGATGATGATGATGATAATAATAATAATAATAATAGAAAACATAATATAACAATAAAGAGAAAAGAATACAATTAAAGAGTTACAATAGGTATAGGCCTATTGCATAAATTTATGGTATCACTTGATTGATAAACATAAATCTGGAAACGTGAGAGATATTATTTTGGTGTTGTAGGCGATAATGGAATTTAATTGTTTCTTTTTATATTAGAATAGTTAATGTAATTGATTACTGACTCATATGGTGAGCTATAATGAGGGAACAAAATGTGGGAAACCTTGTTGTAAGGCTTAACATTCTAGTCATGTGCGATACTTTTTTAATTTAGAAAAAAAATATACTTCCGAAATCAATATTTGCTTAGAATTGGCCAATTATTATTACTTACACAGTATTTTAGGAAGGAGGCGTAAAGGTAAAGGTAGGAAAATAACCAATTTCTCGCAGCGTCATTGTTCTGAATTGCGTATAGGCGTGGTCCGTAGTAATGTTCATTCCACACAACGACAGAGGCTGAAATGAACCGTAGCATCGAGGTTAACCTGCAAAAAGCAAGGATACTGGTTTCTTATGAAGTTACAGTATTTCACTGTGATTGAGATCGGTTGCATTATACTGATTGACTTCCATGATATGATATATACGGTAGCTACGGTAATTATGTGTATGAAACTAGTGCATACGTGCTGCTTTCACACTACATTAAAAATGTGTTTATTAATTTACATAAGTAAACACGTGAATATACTAAAATTTCCAGAAAACAAACATGAATGCGAATAGAAGTTATAATTGACATGTGACAGGATATATTGACGTCACTTCTATTGTATAAAAAATTCATATATTAATATTCGATTTACGGATGATTATATTGTTACCGGTATATATGTTTTTCACTTGGTTTTGTTACAGAGCAGTCTCTTCTCAGTGGCGTAGGGGGTGCTTGGGGGAAGCACGCCTCCCCCAAAAAAACCACTTGTTCCCCCTCCAGTTTCCCCCACTTCACCAGTCTACCCCCACCCAAAAAAAGTCAACCCTCATATCACTTTATCTTGCAAGTTAGCGCCCCCTCACCTAATCATTCCCCCCACCCCAATCATTTCAAGACTCCTGGACACACCAATGTCTCTACTCTGTTATAGTGCTGCTTTCACACTACATTAGAACTATACTTTGTACATTAGAAATTGGTGTGTGAGCACATTTGGTTTCGCAGATTGATTTCGATTAATTGAGAAAATCGATGAAAGCCTTCAATACATCTCAAATCGTCTAGCCACATAGACGATGCTATTTGGTTTCTGTAGTAAGAATATAAACATTGCAATAAAATTAATTACTGATAATTTTGGAATATACATTAGAACCCCTCCTTTGGGGCACCCCTATTAAGAGGACACCCATATGAAGGGGACGGGGACAATTTTTGAGTGTGAAAAATGGTCAAATAAAATAATTTAAAAAATCATTCAAATTTATATTTTTACACCTTTTGAGCAATAAACTTAACATCAAACCAGAATGTTTTCCATCCTTAGAATGGGCATTGGATGAATAAAATATTGTCAATATTGACCATTAACCATGGAGATTTCTTGTTTTGTGTATTTTGATAAAGCATTCTAATCTATCCGGAAAGCCTGCACCCTGATTTCTAAGTTGGTGACATGTATTAATAGCATTCTATCTTGTGCATCGAATAGAAAGCTCAATATTTTTATAAAGAATATTTGGTCATTAACATTGCACTGGAATAAAAAAAATATCGGGAACATATAACATAAATTTTGTAGTTTTGATTACATATCTGTTAATTTCATATCTTAAATAAATCATTTTTTGCATTGCAAATAATTATTGTTATAAATTAGGTATAGTTAAACTGTAACTCATTCTTAGGTCAATTAAAATAAGATTATAAAGAATCTAGTACGAAAACATGCCAAAAACCCCTATTAAGGGGATAATTTCACGTTTTTGGTTAGTGTCCCCCGAATAAGGTTACCACTAATCAGGGGACACTCCTATTAAGGGGACACTTTTTATGGTCCCGATGGTGTCCGTTAATAGGGGCTCTACTGTATTTGGTAATAATAATAATTTAAACTAAGAGGCTGACTGTAATAAGTGTTCGGTAACATTATTTGTGATAGAAAGGGAGTTTACGATAACAATATCCACAAAACAGGTAAATGTCATAAACAATTAAGAGAGTACGTATGTATACCCATGCTTATGGTTACATTTTGTTTATTTTTCTGTCAATCATTTTTTTAAATAATATAGATATAAAAGTACTATACCTACCTTAAAACGTCTAATAATAATCCTGGGTTACAAATCTTTGATGTGTTTTTTAAGGTGGGTTACTATTAGAGTAGTGGGTTACTACTATTACTAAGCTTAATGTAGGCAATTTAAAATAGTAAACTCTCACCCACTCCCAGCTTTTCGCGTCAGGAATTCATAGAAATATAAAATACAGTAGGAGTAAAAAAACCTAGGCTGATTTCTATTTATAGACTCAAAAACACACGTCCACTCCTCATGCATTATACTCATATCTGAAATTATCTCAGGACTTTCGTGTATAGAGGTCTAGGCCTCACATCACTCACACTTAACTCTGATTATCAGTGTTGAAATCTAATTTCCTTTAATCAAAAAGGTTTCTAATCTGCATTCGACCTAGTTAAAGTTATTTTCATTTTTTTCATTTAAATTTTTGTTTAATCAACCCCAAAAAAAAGGGGGAAAACGGTGACAATACAAAATCAAACAAGACGACAAAGATCAGGGACAGCCTAGATGAATATTCAGCTGAACATCAGATTCACATTATTTGTTTAGAAAAAAAAATAATTCCATGTTAGCAATAAAAGCCTTGTTTTCAGAAACGGTTCTTATTGAGGACTAACATTAGGTATTTGGTTTAAGCACAGCCATATACGGGAATAAGGATTTGTTATTACACTAATCATGGAGATTATGAAGATCACCCAATTTGCTTTCTCCGGGTTCAATAACCACATGTTGAGTATGTACTGTTTTCATTAGGGAGTTCCGATTTGCGTTGAACGTTCTATCTTTAAATCTGGAACGGTTGTCGGCCGAATCTACGTTCGGCCAGAAAGAGGATTGTACTGTATTAAACATTCGTGCGTCAGTCTTTTGCGTTCTACGTTCCCGTTCTACGATTTCAATCGAAAGCTTCAGAGATCACAGCATATGAACAAATGTGTTACCTTTTGAAGCATAAACAGCAATATTTATCATGATTTGAGATGTAATTGACTAAGCTTTCTCCCTTGAGAGACACCGGCTTTTAAAGTAATATATCCTGATTTGGAGTTATTGTACTTTATACATTGTTCTTTACAGGTTCACCATGGGGAATCTTCTCAGTCTCCAATAATATAAATTGCTTGAAATTTTAAGTTGTTTTGTATGATAAGGTCAAAGGCAACATTAATTTGAATAGATGGTTGTACTTTAGGATAGGGACCGTTACAACTCCTTCTTTTGAGTAGGGATATTTTCTTTTCCAAAAGCAGATTCAATCAATCAAACTTTATTTAAATGCAATGAAAATCTATGTCATCTATTTACATTTGATGAAAATGTCTGAGATGGGATTTTTGATTGATAAATTAATCTTGATTGATTTAGAACAATGTTTCTATTGTCTGATTAAAATAACTCTATACCATCATGTCTTAAAATCGTTTGTTTATTATTTTATTTATTTATTTATTTTTTTTTTTTTTGCTTTTTGTACTAATGAATTTGAAACTTTAATATTGTTGATAGTAATCTTTTTAATCATAATTTTTACAAAAGAGTGTTGGAATGCTTTCCAAAGTAAAGTCAACAAATGAATTATGGATTGTTTCTCTATCTCTCTCTCTCTCGCTCTCTCTCTTTCGTGTGGGTTAACCACCTTTATTCATTTCAGTATTGTTTTTCATAGTTTCATTTTACATATTTGCACAATGTCCCTGCGGACTTGCGTTCATCATTTACATTATACAACTAAAACATATATTTGAAAATTTGTACAACCAATAACCAAGAGTAACAACATGAATAGACATATGTGACTATCATTGTTGCGCTTTTTTATTGATTTATTTTTTTTTTTCAGAGCACGACATTACTAAGTTTCTCCTTTCGTATATAAAAGGTGTTCCGTCGTTATATAGACGTGATCAATTAATTTCGTTTTTTTATTTATTTATTTTAATCTTATTTAACAAAAAAGAACACAATAAAAGTCAATTATTATTATTTTTTTTAGTAGTACAAGATGCATGAGTTAAAGTTCATTTCTGTGTATTTCATTTCTGAACAACGTTAAGGCATCTATGTTATTTTTTGTTTGTAGCAGGTCTAAAATCTTAGCTTTATAAATACAGTAGGCACCCAGAGTATACACCTTGCTTATATGTTGTCTGTTCCAAATAATTTTTTTTTTAAATAAGCCAGTGTTTGTGTCGACATTTGTTATGTTCCTTACTTCTCTCCAGAGATTTCTCACATTTTTACAGCTTACGAACATATGTTTTTCTGTATCAAAAACCTGATAATTATCACAATTCATAGACTCTCTTAATCTCCATTTATACAATCTTTCGTTGGAATTTTCCTATGGAGTAATTTAAAGTGGAATTGAGCTAATTTCTTGTTTTTAAATCTGGTAATTCTTCTTTTCCAAACTGTTTCCAAAGGTAATTCAAACATAGCATCCCATTTCGTTTGCGCTAATGGTGTAACATATTTAGAGTCTTTTAATACTCTATACACTTGTTTTGATGTCAATTATTTTGTTGCCTTTATAATCATTGTTACCATAAGGGTTGATGGGTTTTTTTTTTCTTTCAATATTCGTTTCCACTTCAATGGGATAGCATTAATTACACATGTGTAGTCCGACATTTAATTATGTTTAAATATCAATTTGGATTTTAAATCGGATGATGATATGAAATTGCCATTATCTATGTCTATGACATCTTTGACTTTTAGAATACATGATCTAATCCAATTTCGAAAATATAATGACTTACTTTTGGCACATATTTGTTTTTCCCCCATAATATTTGGTTTATAACATTATAGTATTCAAGTATCGACTGTTATTTATGGATTGTTATTACCGCCTCTTTGTATCAGTAGCGGCGCTAGGATTTCCCCGATGGCAGGGCAACGCCCCCGACATGCAGAGCAAAATTTGTATTTTGGGGCGTAGCGCCATCCGCGAGCATTTGCCCGAGCGAGGTAGAGGGTTTGAGAGGGGGAGGCTCCATTCCCAATAAGGAAAATGTTTAAAAATAATAAGCTGCTAGACGCTCATAACATCTTGACCTAATGATGTTTTTTTTTTTTTTTTGGTTTTTTTATTTTGTTTTGTTTTTTTTTTGTATCTCATGCCCAAAGGATTAATTTCTACAGGCCTATCCGATTAAAGCCAACATTTG